ACCCAGTCTCCACTCCTTCAAAAAATTGTTAAAAGCACACTTCTTCATAAAAGCGTATCAATTAAACTGTTAATAGCTCCCCGACTGATTCCCCTTCTGCAACTGTCACTAGTCTAATACTATCCTTACCTTTTTGTGTCATTTTACCCCACTCCCTCTGTTCCTGTGTGTCCAACTTGTCTGGTTACAAATACATGTCTGTTCGTCCACCCATTGTAAAGCCCTGCGGAATTTGATGGCGCTATATAAATAACATAATAATAATTTGCAGATGTGATTTCACTTACCAATGTACTCTTCCTTGCCACATAATTTGCACTTTGAAAGTAAGCTTACTTGAAGGCACTCAAAGTGTTGCCAGGTTTTGCTGCGAGCAATACAGTACCCTCAATCATTAGCTTTGCATCAGCTGAAGATGCACATGGATTTGCATTGGTGGCAGTAGAAACTGTCTCAACATCTGTCACCTGACCAACAAAAATGGATTGATTTAGAGCACCTGATCTTTGCAATGATTTTCCTTCTCTGTATGTTTGGTTCCCAAGACGACATCGCCCCTTAGTCCCATTGCCATCACCAGTGATCACTAACTCTCTAAACTTGTAAGACCACATTAAAGACAAATTTAAACTCTCCTCCTTTTTATTCCCCTTTAAACTCATTTTACATAACAAATTATGGCTTTATATTTAAACACTTCATCCAATTTGCAAACAGAAATATAACCAGACTGAATTTTAACAACATTAATTACTCAAATTTACCTGAATACACTTTCTTACAACATCTGACTGTATCGATATATCAAAAGTACAACATGACGTACTATCAATATGTACAACTGTGCAGTTTTGTCTCCTACCCAGTGATAGGACAACAGACGCAGATTCCTTAACACCTTTTTAAACTTATGAGGCTTAATTCCACAGCCTAGAAAGGACAGATATTTTCAATATATAACCTATTAGTATCACACTCCCAAATTTCACTACCCTATATCACAACTTGAGAAAATTATCTGGGTCCTCCAGAAGAAGCGAGGGACTGGTCACATATCTTGGAAGCCATAGCCTCTCTTACCATATGTGTAACACACAAGGAATGGGTTTATAAAATGCATTGTTTGCCCATAGAGCCATTGGAGAACTGTGGCCTAAAAATAGCATTCCTAGCAAGACCAAGGGTACACAAAAAATAATGAAGCAATTGGGATGGATAGACTCACAGCAACACTACATGATACACCCAAAATTCTACATTTAACTAGAATAATCTAATCAGTGAGTGTACCATCTCATTCTCTCTAATTTCACAAAGCACACTAGCACCTTCTCTCACTCCATCCTTCTCTCATTTTGGCAGGTATGAGCAGCTTTAAATACAATAGAATGAACACCCCCTCTAGGTGTCCTACCTGCCTCTTTAAAGAACACCTTCTTACCCTTTAAGAATCCTTGGGATCATCCCCTGTTTCTTGCAGATGCCTCCCCTTCTCAGTGTCGGAATATGTAAACGAAGCACCTTCCTTTAGTGCAACAGGGTCCGGCGTTTGGCGGAGGGGAGCGATGGAGGTAAGTTTTGGGCCAAGCCCAAGCGAGGGCATGATACCTTGTTTCTTTACTCTCCTCTCCCTACGGTGCATGCATCCGGATACACTCTCTCTTTTGTTTCCCCCCTTCCTCACACCTCTTCTTTGATTCTTATATTGTCCTACCATCTGTTCCAATGTATTTGTATAAAGTTCTCAGTCCAGCATTTCCTTTTGTTGCCCCCACCCCATCCCTCCCAACACCCACTTCTATCCAACTCTCTCAAGTGAATTTAGGGAAGATTTGCAACAAACGTTATCTTCACCCCTCGTGTTCTAAACCCCATTTGCAGTACCTTCCCTTTTCTACAATCCTCCAATTGAGATTTTTAGCCTCCCACCTCCAGTAATATTTATTCTCTTAAGCATATTACAATTGTTACTATTTTGCTACCTCATGCAAAATCTACCCAAAGTACCTATAATTACTAACAGATTAGCTTCTTAATGCTATCAGGGGATACTACTTGAATCCCTTATATCATATGTCCACTGTATTTGTTCAAATTTGCTTGTATGAAAAATATAAATAAAGATTTTTGTTTATTAAAAGAAATCCGTAGAAGGAACAAGACGTGCTGGTGTGGAGCTCCTGCAAACCGCACAGCTATACAGATTTAAAAACCACAGATAAAAACCTGAAAGACGGCAATATTAATACCTGAGTACTCCAGGACCCCCCCCCCCGTTGAAAAATGGGATGCAGAAACTGTAAGCTGACCCACTCGGGAAGCACTAAGCAAGCAGACATCCACGCGTCTTTTGAAAGGCCGGAGCAGCATGCACTGCCCAAGATGGCGCCCATGGGTCCACGAGACTCGAGCTCCATGGAAGACTCTGTAGTGGATGACAGCAGTACACCAGCCTTGAACGGGGTGTACAGGAGCGACGACTCCGACTCCGACGCCTCACCCTCCACAAAGGGGGATATTAGAAAACTATTGGTGAATTTAAGGGAGTTCTGGAAGGCCGACCTAGCTGGCGTGCACACCGAGGTTGACAGCCACGCGGCTAGAATCAAAGGGGCTGAAACTAGAGAGGGGAGGAGAGAGCAGGAGCTGTTGGAGACATGGGCCCAAATGAAAACAATGTCCGAGCAAATACAACGACTCACCCGAGCGGTCACATCAGTAGAGGCCAGGAAAAATGTGCGGATCCGCGGGGCGCCCGAGAGCATGGGCCCAGATGGTGGCAGCTCTAGGAGTGAGACCCACAGTGGGAGCATCACCCATCATGACCGCTTTCCGAATACGGAAGGCCTCAACCGCCCCCGCGGACGCACCCAGGGACATCATAGCCATTACCAGGGACATATCTATTAAATCTGCAATCCTGACCCAATCAAGAAGCACCCCCACCGTTGCGATGGATGGATAAAATGGGATAAGATACGGGCACTCTTGTGGTGCAACAAGGGGACTCTGTCCTAACCCTGTCGGCACAGGAAGACCCAGCGGGTTTCCTGAAGGCGTTACACCTATTGCAGCAGACTGCCACCACACAGGCCACAGTTACAACCTCCACATCTGAGGGGTCCAGCCTAGAGAGACGATCAGTCAACGAAGCGGGAACAGCACACAAAAAATCACGATTGCTGAACCTGACCAAGACCTAACCAGCCGGGGAACAACTGGCGTCTCCTGGGCCTCCTCAGTCCTGACCCCGCTAACACTCCACCGGGACTGTGCCAGCCTCTTTCCCAGTGTAGAAACGTTCACTCCTAAGGCTACTGTGGTAACCCATAGTTAAGTACTAAGCTTATGGCACGCCAGAAGGCAATGTTTCTATACATACAAGAGACAAACGGCAAATGTACATGTTTTTGATAACTCTCCATGTCTTAACTTTTATTACATTTTATATATTCTATATTTTTTTTTTTTTTATTCCTCGTTATTATCACCTCACTGTCTGCTATTAAGATTTACTTAGGAGCGGCAACACCGCAATAAGGTGAAATTTAACTAAGGCACCCCAGCCTGCTAAGTACTAAACTGCACAGCCTTAGACCATAAACGATTGAGACAACACGCATATTTTTTATACCTAAGACATCATTTTTTTGCATAGCCCTAAGCTGAAGGGTTGCCACAAGCATAATTGTCCCACGGGGGCCACCTTACTCGCACAAGATGGGCCTATGACCCATGCGCGGCGTCGCTACCAAGACATGTAACCAAAGACTGTCTGTTGGCGCCATCACTATGAGATCACCAGGTCCGGGCATGGTGTGTACAACGAAGGGTGGGTCAGATGTCTGAGTTTTTAAACCCACAGACCCCTACCATAGAAAGTACCTGAGCTCCCTGGAGACTACTGCTCCAATTTCAGTGTATATTGGGAGGGTATGCAGCAGCACAGTCTTAAGGGTAATGTTTGTGTATCCTATTATTTATTTGGGTATTTTCTCATACCTATTGTTAATGACCATATGTTTACACCATGTTACACCATGTAACACCAAAATGTGCGACTGTATTCTGCCATGATAAAGCATTGCTTAATTGCGCCTGTGCCTGCTGTTGGGGCACCACAGGCTTGTCTGTACATCTTGTTGCACAAAATAAAATAAAGAATTAAAAAAAAGAAATCCGTAGGCATCACAATGTAATGCATAGCGAGTGAGTTTATTGGATCACAAGGACAAAATGTAGATTCAAGTGAAACAAGTAATACAAGTGAAATAAACAAATACCTGTGGATACCACTTTGAACTCCCTTTATTCTGTTTGGACTTTAATCCATTGGTATTTATATATTTGATTCATTTGTATTACTTTGTACATGCCTAAGGCCTTGTGGCCAAAACTTTATCTGCATGTTGTCCATTACATTGTGAAGCCTACAGATTATTTTTTGATGAATTTACAATGAGGCTTGCAGATCCTCACTGTGGAGCACCAATGTTCTAGAGAGGAACATTCATAGCTCACCTGTGTATAGTGCTTCCTTTACAATTCTATTGTCCAGTTGTAGCTGCTTGGTGCCTAGTAAACACTAGATGTGGATGTAATCTATGGGAGGGGAACATTATTAGCAGTGAGCCACTAAACACAAGCCTGGAGATTGGCAATCGGTTCGTTTTTTTTAGTCACAAACATCTACTTACTGTTATTATTATTGTTTATTTATAAAGCGCCAACAATATCCACATTGCTGTGTAATGGGTGGACTAACAGACACGTATTTGCAAGATGACTTGGATGCACAGGATCTGAGGGTGTAAAAGGGCAGTGCTCAAACAAGCTTGCATTCTAGAAATAGTTGGGTAAAGTGACACAAGAGATAAGTTACGGCAGATATTTAGAAGGCACATTAGAAATTAGCCTCATATCAGGAGTTTTGTCAAGTATATGTATTTACATACCGTTGTTCGTATGTTTGTTTTTTTTTACTTGGTTTATTCTTATAGTTTACAGTTGGTTTATTCTTATAGTTTATTATAACTAATTCAAATTTAGTGCAGGGCTTACTTGTCATGGAAAAACTATCTAGAAAATGCCACAGGACTATCCTTAAAATATAGAAGATTTTATTTATCAGGAAACTCTCTCTAAAACTATTAAGTATGAAGCGCATGTGTTTTGAACTGTCATCTCTGCATTTGCCAGAAATGCTTAAGCATAATAGCTTCAAGTACACAAAGACAGCTCTGCTTTTACAGCTCTTTAATTGGGTAAAGGTATTTCACCTAGAAAAATAACTATGTACAATGCCATAGAACTCACTTAAATAAATATTTCAGGAACAAACTTGCTTGTGCAATACAAATCATATGTGCCGTGGAGATGAAAAAAAAAAAAAAGACAGAAAGAAAGAGAGAAAAAAAATTCACTTAAACGGGCTACCTTTAAAGTATCTGATAAAAAATAGGCCTGTAAAAAAAACAAAAAAAAAAACAGTAAATCTATTCTAAATCACTTAAAACAAAGGCAATTTGGCAAGCAGGAAGTTTAAAAAAAAAATTATTATTCAGAGCTTTCAAAATGATTTTACCAATAAAAAATAACTTTAGGTTATGTCCACGTTTAATGCTATAGGTTTTTACAGTCAGAGACATACACAAGAATGTTAAGAATGTTTTGATTTACCAACTAGCATTAAAATAATTCCAAGTTTATGATTCATAGATAGAAATCAGTTATTGATTCAGCTTTTTGTTAGCTAAAAAAATGGTGCAATTACTTTTGCTTTTTAAGAGTTCCAGAGAGTAAAGATATTTAAGAAAGCATTCTAGTTTAAAGACAGATTTTAAAAATGAAATAAACACTCTTTGAAAACCTGTACAGCATTATTGTGTTTGCAATGGCCAAAAGAGGACAGATTTCCCAAATTTACTTAGAATGATAGATTTGTGGATATGAAAATTTAAATATTTGTTCTGTTGAAGTAATGCCAGTTTTACTCAAAATCAAAAGATAATGTCTTTATGATCTATAACCATAAAGGATGAGACACTCCATATAAACTATTCCATCGCTACAAAATGTATACACATGATAATATTCATTTTGTAATGAAAAGCACTGACATATAAATCCAGCCCAATCTTCCCCTTTGATCCAGAACTGGTATTTACCCTGCATAGAAATTAGTTTCTTTACTAGGGCTTTGTAGCGGAGCGCTAGTCCTAGCAGGGATTCTCCTCCGCTGGTTAGTTCAACATACACTCAGCAACAAGTACAACACTCCAAGGGAACAGCCAAAAACCGTAAAGTAATCCAGGAATCTCCCACCACCTTCCCAGCAACTGGATGACACTCAGATCTCGGGGTTTAACTGATTTTAATGGAGCCACACATGGTCTGTTATGTGAATGCAAGGGGTTTCCAAATACACATTCCAGGTGCATTCCCCGCTGGATCAGAGAGTAGACTGGGACAAAGTACACACCATAATTACATTAACTCTCAGGTCCAGGACATGTATAATATTAATCACCCCAAAACATAAATTTCTCCACAAGGTACCCCCTTAAGTCATAAATCCCTGGATAGCCTGGGTCTAAGCGCCCACGATATCCGAAAAGCGCTCAGATTCCACAAATGCAGCCAAAACGCCACCGGGTATAGTTTAGACCGACTGCACAGAAGGTGCCTGCCTAAAAAGGTTCCATGAAATTAGGCTGTGCAGTCGGTCTCTTTCGGGAGTTTTAAATATACGAAACACCAGGCATGAACTTGTTCATGCAGACATTATTCTGTGTATCTTGTTCGGGAGTTTGCTCCTCCCGAACGCCACTCTGTTCGTCTGAATCCCCACAAACGAATGGAGGATGGAAGTCCCAGAGGTGTTTGCGCCACCGAGTGTCCGCTTTTCGTTCCATGCACTCGACGACCAAACACTGCTGTCTCTGTTCGCTACTAAAGATGGCCGCTGACACGTGTTCGCACATATACGAATGGTGACCGCCCAGCCTACTGCTTGGAATGTTCCAGTTATTGCGGTTGGTGGAGGTGTGAACAGAGGTTACTGTGGTTAACGAGTGGCACACTCCACATATGGGTAGTCTGGTCGTTCGGTAATTTGTTCGGTTGTCAAACAAGACGTTGTTAATAGGCAAGGTGGCTATTATTTTACTGAACGGCCAGACGAACAGGGGAAAGAACAAGATGATCCAGGGACTAGGAGCACAAAACATAGGAAATAACAAGGGGGACAAGCTACGGACAGCCCATAGCAGGAATAAGGGTGACAGTCCAAGGTTCATTCCGCTACAGACTTCATTCTTTCTGTTTACATATCTGCAAATTGATTGTTAAGTAGTCTACATCCCAGAGATATTTCTAGAGTTTTGGTACACACAAATTATTTGTCACACACGCCAAGTTTTCACATTGAAATGGATTCTAAAAGTATCATTAACCATTATAACACCATTATATTTACAACTTGCGTGTCCTTTTGCATAGTACCTTGCATTCACAGTTCTCCATTTATATCCCCCATTTGTATAATTACCAATGTTCTTTTTTCCTTAAATTGTAGAGAGCACTTTATAAGAACTGTTAAAATAAATACATTTTAGTTGATAATGTACAAGAACGCCATGTGTGCAGATGAAAAAAATCTGAAAACCTGGGGCTGGCTAGGACATAACAAAGAAACATTTTACTTCCTTACTATGCATCCAAAATATTTGCACATGGTATGGCAGAATTCAGTTGCTGAAGCCATTATGGCACTGCTGTTTCAAGCTACAGTTACAGTTCTCGCCTTGTCACTGCTGCCATTAATGTTTCCTTCTCCCCTTACTGATTTGCTGATTGATATGTGGGAGGGGGAAACACCATGTTTCCCCTCCAACCCCTCACCTGACATATAAGTAAAGAGAGATATGTAGAGAGAGAAATCGTGACTTGAGCATAGAAGTGTGGTATTTTCAGTTATGTAGTATACACTCACAGACATATACATAAAAACATCACTAAATAGAAACACACAAAATTAGCTACATATACATTGACTACGTTGTATCTTAATAACCGTGTCTTTTTTTTCAATTTACAGTGTCAGTATTGAGGAGGAGGAAGGGATCCTTGCGTTTAGCAGGTAAGTGAAGGTGAGGGATGCTGTACTGTAACAAACTGCTGTTCCCAGGACTTGCATATTGGCACCTACAGTATGTAGTGCTTTTACGCCACCTAACAATAATACTAACTACTCACACAATCTTGCCAAACTCCTATGCTGCTTTCCACACTTTTTTTTTACATTACACAGAATTAAGAGTGATTTATTAAAACAAAAAAAAGCAAAAAAAGGTACCTTCTCACTATCCCAAATTCCTATGTACATTTAAATAAATAAACCCTTAATATGGCACACATGGGGTGAGCTGAAGCACTGTGACATGGCTCTGTAATACAAAAGCAAATACAAACATACAAAATTAAGCCCTGCACTCAACCTCTTACTACTAGTGGGTGGCAGCAATGACTAAATGTATAGAACAAAAAAAAAAAAGGTGTCTAAGCAATATCCCACCCCATGTTTGTCCTATTATGGTATATTTAGTGTGTAGGGTTTTATAGAAAATCCCCTCTCTGTCTCATTAGGGATTTTGCCTTTAGCTCAAAGAAACAAAGTGAATTGTTAATGTAGGACTCACCTAAGAGGTTTGCCTTGATGTGGCAGGTGAGCGTATACTTTAATGGCCATTGGATTGATACTAAAAACCTCCAGTTATTTAATTGTGCATTGAGATTTGGGCTTTTTGGGATAGTGCGCAGGTAACTTTTTTATTTTTGTTTTATGTATTGGAGCTAATGTGCTTTATACTCATTGCTGCCGACCAGCAGAAGTGGGAGTTTGACCACAAGGCTTAATTTGGTATGTTGGCAATTATTTCATTCTTACAAAAAGCAAACTCTATAAAACCATGTTAAAAAAATGATTTTATATTTTCCCATTCTATTATATGAACAGTAGGAATGTGCACATGTATTGTAAGTTTTTTGTGTTTTGTTTTTAGTAGTCATTGCATTAGTTCAAATGTACAAAACAACGTGGGAAAGTTCAATGATAGAGTAGAAAACCTCTGTTCCCTAATCCCTTGAACATCCTAAAATAATTATATTTGTACGGCAATATCTCCCATTCTTATGTATTTCCTTACATTCCCATGCTCTAGAGTAAATTCCGTTGGGTGTGATATTCTAGTTAAGGTTTTCATTTTCAGCTTTTGTGTCAGTTTTTTTTAATTATTTGGGAAGTTCCACGCTTAGGAAAACAACTTAACTGTGGACGCATCAGCTGTCATCAGCTGTAGCAAATGTCTGCAGAGAGGTATTTCTACTTCAATTACAAGGGGAAGCAAAACAAGTAGGATAAAACTAATCACTTTAAAAAAGTTGACTTTGAGATGTCAAATGAAATTATGGCAACACTATAATGACTCTGCATTCATAATACTAGAGTATCCTTTTAGAACTCTTTCCAATGGCTAACTTTCCTATAATGCAAGGCACAGAATTAAACCCTGATTGTAGTAAAATGTCCATACAGTATGTTGCTCCAGCTGTGTATCCCACAACCATTGTGGACACTGGAGATGCTGTGGACTTTAACTCCCATCACATCAGAGGAGATATGATAGCATTATACAAATATATTTAGGGCCAATACAAACTCTATTGTCTGGAAATCTATTTATAAACAGGACTCTACATAAGACACACATTTAGACTGGAAGAAAGGAGATTTAGTCTAAGGCAAAGGAAAGGGTTTTCTTTTTTTACAATAAAACCAATAAGGATGTAGAATTTTCTGTCTGAAAAGGTGGTTTTATCAGAGTCTGTACAGATGGTTAAACAGCAATTGGATAAAAACTTGCAAAACATAAAATACAGAGATATAAGGTTTAACTAGTGGGGTAATAGCTTCTTGATCCAAGGAGATATCTGACTGCCATTCTGGGGTCAAGAAGGATTTTTTTTCCTAGTTTGTTGAAAAATTTGAATCGCTTCAGACTGGATTTTTTACCTTATTTTGGATCAACAGCAAAAACAAATTTGAGAAAGACTGAATTAGATGGACGTATGTCTCTTTACAGTTATTTAACTATGTAACTATGTCAAATTCAGACATATGTTGCCTATTAAAGAGTGATGTGAGTTATGGCCCACACTGCAGGTGCCCTTAAACCTATGCCCACTATTACTTATCACAAATATTGCCCAACACTAAAAAAAAAAATACTAATTCTAGAATTATTCACTAATATACACTGCACTCCTTTAAATGCTTCTCCTACAGCTTTAATGAAATGATGCTCAACATTTTAAAAGTCATGGTTTGATTTAAGATGTTTTGAATCAAATGTTGGACAATATTCTTACATTAAATGGAAGAATATCACAGAATTTTTCAGCAGGTGGAGGCTAATCATAAATTCTCTTTCCAGTAATCTGGAAAGAGAATATATTCAGATCTTCATCAGAGGCATAACTAGAAACCCCAGGGCCCTGGTGCTAAAATTTCCCTGCCCCCCCCCCAGCCCTCTCGATGTGTCTCATTCCCCCATATGTCTGATTCCCTCCCCACAGGCCCTCCATGTGTCTCATCATCTCACCCCACAGAGTTTTATTTCCTCCCCCAACCCCCTCTACTTGTCTCATTTCCCCCAAGCCCTTTAATGTGTCTCATCCCCCCAAAGCCAATCTATGTGTCCTACTCACCCCAGGCACCTCCATGTGTTTTTCTCCCCCTCCACTCTTACCCCTCCATATGTCTAATTTCCTCCCATGTGTCTAATTTCACCCATAAGCAACTCCAAGTGTCTTTCTCCTCCCTCCACTCTTACCCCTTCTCTCTCTCCCCTAGCAGCCCCTCCATTTCTCTCAATCCTCCCATCCCCTGCAGTTTCTCAACTTCTCTCTCCCCTGCTCTTTCCCTGCAGCCCCTCCATTTCACCCCCTTGCAGCAACTCCATTTCTCTCAATCCTCCCCTCCACTGCAGTTTCTCAATTTCTTTCTCCCCAGCCCTTTCCCTGCAGCCCTTCATTTTACCCCCTTGCAACCCCTCCATTTTTCTCTTTCCCTTCCCCTGCACACCCTCCATTTCTCACCCCCTTTCCCCTGTAGACCCTCCATTTACCTCACCCTTCCCCCTACAGACCCTCCATTTCTCCCGCTTTCCCTGCAGGCTCTCCATTCCCCCTCCCTTCCCCTGCAGATTCTTCATTGCCCCCTTCCCCTTCAGACCCTCCATTTCTCCCCCCTTCCCCTGCAGACTCTCCATTCCTCCTTCCTTCCCCTGCAGACTCTCCATTCCAACCTTCCTTCCCCTGCATACTCTCCATCCCACCCTCCTTCCCCTGCATACTCTCCAACCCACCCTCCTTCCCCTGCAGACTCTCCATCCCACCCTCCTTCCCCTGCAGACTCTCCATCCCCACCCTTCCTCTGCAGACTCTTCACCCCCCCCTTACCTGTTTGCTGCGATCGCGGTACCCATCTGAGTCTCTCAAAATGTGCGACTGTGGAATTTAAACCACTGATACTAAACGCTATAATTAAAACATGGGATTTATAAATAATGACATGTCTCCCAGTATACTCTATCCCAGATACTCTTAAAGCAGTAAACTCGCATGAACTCATTACCTATAGACTGACATTTCAGCCCAAAATGATTCAAATTGGAGCTGCTCCCTGTATTTAAGAAAGAAAGAAAGAACGTCCAGATAAGCATGTGCTTATTGTATTCCAACAACCAAAACACATTCTACGGATACTAACATTTATTTGAAACATGGGATGCCTAAGTAGATGAAAATATATCTAAAATGGTAGAGTGCTCAGTATATTTATCTTCACCGAATTAGCTACAAGCTCAAACATGTGTACCGAATACACAGTGTGGTAAGAGAGATGGTATATTCAGTCACTCAGCTAGCCTACTTAGTCTATGAGCAGCTTTGAATTGTGACTTCAGCTGATAATGCTGAAATTGAACTTCCTCACTGACAGATTCCAAGGTTCGAACTATACCTCAGGTGTCTCAGTGACTCTGAAAACAGTTATAGAAGAATCAGAAGGTTTTGTAATTTGGACTATACTATAAGCCCGCTGGCAGGACTACCAGCCAGCATGCAAATAGTTCAACACAAAACTTTGACAGCACGAGGGTTAATCATGTGGTGGCAGCTCAGCGCTTGCTTTCTAATAAATTTTTGTTGAGGTGCAATTTCATTTATTTTTTTTATCAGGTGCGATGAGGTCCTTTTTTATTTTAAAAATAGCATTGGGATGCAATACCTTTTTTTTAATAATCTTTTTTGGGGCTTAGAATAAAGAAAACGTCTGAAAAGAAGTATAATTTTTTTTAATTTGCAGGTATTTTATTTATTGCCCCCTGTTATTATGGTGAGATGGGTAGGTAGGATAATTTCTTATTGGGGGAGTGGCTGGAGGCTTGTCGACCCATAACCTTTCGGTGGTTGGAGGTTATTGTCCCTGGTTTAGGGTAGGGTTGACCCACCACTCACTATCCTCCCACATTTATTATATTAATAGTCACCACCCACCAGACATGCGTGGGGCAGACACTGGGATGTTTGCCACTGTGCCATTTCCTCCAGTTTTTTCATTTGTGACTAGGAAGCAATAGCTGCCCATTCTCTAATATTTAATTAGTACCTGCGGTATGGTGGGTGGAGGCATAAGAGACTTATTTTACCTCCCTTATGCTGATATGTGGTGTTATATTGATCCTATAGCCATTTTTTTAAAGATTTCTTTCATTTTTTATTTCTAATTCATCTAAATGATTTCTATGTGTGAGCCAATTTGGACAAATCAAAACAGCACATACATGAAAGTCGGTCACCCAAATCGGTTTTATTTCTGGGCAAATACCAAACCAAATATTTTGCCATGGATATGTCTACACAAAGGAACATGATAATTTAGGTTAAAAAAAAAAAAGACTTAAGAACAACATTAAAGGACCACTATAGGCACCTCAGCTCAATGAAGTGGTCTGGGTGCTAGATCCATCTAGTGTTAACCTTGCAGCTGTAAACATAGCTATGCTTTACACTAGGGTTGATCCAGCCTCTAGTGGCTGTCTCACTGACAGCCGCTATAGACGCTTCTGCAATTCTCACTGTGAAACTCACAGTGAGAAGACACTGGACGTCCATAGGAAAGCATTCAGAAATGCTTTCCTATGGACTTTCTGAATGTGCGTGCGGCTCTTGCATTCAGCGCTGACGTTGTCGGGAGGAGGAGGAGACTTCCCCAGCGATGAGGGTGCCCGACACTGGAGAAAGGTTAGTGTTTAACCCCTTCGGCCCCCTTCAGCCCAGCGGAAGTGGGAACCTGAGGGTGGGGGGAACCTAAAGACCCTATATAAATTAAACATAATTGATCCCCATTAGTTAGAGGGATGTATACATCATCTTTTGAAGTAAGTACATTCTGTATTATCTGTCTTGAAGGAACTATTCACAGTATTTACACAAGTTGCCAGAAATTCTCACATTCTCTTCAGTGAAATAAGAATCAATAAATACTTCTGATGGCACATGGTAAATCAGAACATAGGACTTTAATTTAAAGCAGGAAGACCTGGCATGTCTCTGAGATGGTGCCAGAATAACAAGCCATGTCAGTGTTTCTTCTCAGTTTTATAGCCCCATTTTATTGCTTGGTGTTTTGGGATTTTTATCAGAAAAATGGAGACAGTGAAACCAAAGGAAAGACACTATCCCCTCTGAAAGTTCTAGTTGAAGAGATACTGTCTTATCAGGTTATCAAGATAAGACTACTATTTTTTTTTACTAAAGCATCATTGACCTGGTACTCTGAATTCAAGTTCTGGTATGCATCTGGAATTCCTAAAGAAAGCCATAAACTAACATGTCTTCTATAAATCTCTATAGTCAACACTAAAGTGAATGACCAACTGATTCTTTAGAGCAATATGTATGTGTAACAAAAATAGTATCAAAACAAAATGCAGAAAAATGAGTATATAAAAATTGCTGGTGTACTCTTGCACATGCACTTGAGTACAAAATAGAGGTGCATATTTTTAACACTCGCTTTTGGGCATGTGTGATATTGTGTGATATGCAATAAGATGCTTTCTCCTCGTCAGCCTTTTACATGATAACTAATGGGTGATGACAATGTCTACAAACAAAAGCTCCTTGGAGCTTGTCTTTTTAACACATTTTCCCATTTTGATGAGTATATGAGACAAATGGTAACTACTTTGTCTTCATGTAATACTCGTATAGTGCCACTTTAACTAGATGACAGTGGATCAGCTCTCTGAAGTTGGGCACTGTCCTCTTTTTGCTTTCTTTTCTTCTTTCTTTAGTTTTTGTATATGGAGAACAACACTCTTCTTACTGTGTAAATGCCATGTACTTCATAAAGGAGAATGATTTGTAGTGTTCCCTCTACACCTATGCATTTGCTGATAAAGTTATTCTTCCTCCACAGAAGACTTTGGTTTAAGGATATTGCCTACTGCCAACTAGTACAGAGTATGTTCGCCTTTTTAATTCAGAATGACAGAATGATAACATTAATGTTCCTGTAAGGGCTATTTTATTCCATAAATACTTCCATTATATATGATGAGTTAGAAAGGTTACCTGTTATATGCAAAGCAGGGGCATACCGGATTTTTAAAATGTTGCCACAAATTTGTAAATGTAACACCCCCGTCTGCCCCCTTCTACAAAACCCCTGTATCCCCCTTCCACAAATCCCCTGCTCAGCCCCTCTTATACAAGACTCCTGCCACCTTCTCCAAATTTCCTGCAACCCCCTCCTCCCCACACACACACACACACAGTTACAGGCAGACAGTCACACACACAGTTACAGGCATACAATCACACACAGTTACAGACAGACAGTCACACACACACAAAGTTACAGGCAGCAACACACAATCACAGGCAAACGGTCACACACACATTTTCACATGCAGATAGTCACACATACAGACACAGGCAGTCATATACAGACAGTTACCGGTAGTCACACACAGTTACAGGCAGACAGTCACAGGCAGACAGTCAGATATACAGACACACACACAGTCACAGGCAGACCGTCACACTCACACATAGTCACATGCAGACAATCACATAAACAGTCACAGGCAGACAGTAACACACACAGTTGGAGGCAGACTGTCACACAGACAGTTGGAGGCAGACTGTCACACAGACAGTTGGAGGCAGACTGTCACACAGACAGTTGGAGGCAGACTGTCACACAGACAGTTGGAGGCAGACTGTCACACAGACAGTTGGAGGCAGACTGTCACACAGACAGTTGGAGGCAGACGGTCACACAGACAGTTGGAGGCAGACGGTCACACAGACAGTTGGAGGCAGACGGTCACACAGACAGTTGGAGGCAGACGGTCACACAGACAGTTGGAGGCAGACTGTCACACAGACAGTTGGAGGCAGACTGTCACACACACAGTTGGAGGCAGACAGTCACACACAGTTACAGACAGACAGACACATACACACACACAAACACATGCTATTACAGGCAGACAATCACATACACACACAGTTACAGGCAGTGTCACATACACACATACACACACAGAGTTCAAGGACGACAGTCAAACATACAGACAGTTACAGACAGATAGTCACACATACACACACACACACACAGTTAGAGGCAGACAGTCACACACATCCACTTACAGGCAGACAGTCTCACACACAGTTACAGGCAGACGGTCAGGCACACACACACACAGTTACAGGCAGACAGTCTCACACCCAGTTACAGGCAGACGGTCAGACACACACAGTTACAGGCCATCTCACACACACACACACACATACATACACACACAGATTTCAAGGACGACAGTCAGACACACACGCAGTTACAGGCAGACAGTCACACACAGACACATGCAGACAGTCACACACACACAGTTACTGGGAGACAATCTCACACACACTCACATGCAGACAGTCTCACACACACACACGGTCTCTCTCTCTCTCTCTCATTTACTTACTTACTTACAGACAGTATGGGCTGGATAAGAAGTGGATTCTCTGAAGTCCCTCCCTGAAGTCTGTTAGTTGGAGAAGCTAGGGACTCCTTGCTTCCCCTCCATGTGCAGCAGTGGCTGGGGGTAAGCTCCGCCCCCGCTGCAGGTTTGGCTCAACCCCGTCACCGAATTGGTTCTGCCCCCACATTCCTTCCATGCGGCCGGTTTTGAAGTGGCTGCATTCCTGGTGTCTGCTTGTGTGAGCTGTGTTGGCCGCCCGGTGCTCCAGCTGCCATGGCAACCTGTGTGCGGCCACATAGCTCATGGCTGACCCTGGTCATGACACCTTCTACCTTGCAGTGCCCCCCCCTTTTAGTACGACACTGATGCAAAGTAATGATTTCAATTATGTTAGATGTTTACAGAAGTAATATTATAATGTGTTTGTTGTTTTGTTTATATCAAACCTTATAAATATTAAAGGAACACTACGGACCCGGCAACTACTACAGCACACCATCACTAATTCTGATGGAGATTCGGATGCTCCTAAACAGGAGTTTCCTTAGCTGTACCCTGATGCATCATTTCTCTACTGTACTGTGAGCTTAGTCCAGACAGAGAGCTTCTGGCTAGTAGTAGAAGCAGGTAGCAGAGCAACTGAACAGCTGTTACAAGATATGTAATGAAAAACTATAATTTATATCATTTACACTTAAATGTGAAGTGCTGTACTATATTAGTATGATGATAAACGATACAAATAACTAATGTGATCATTATTATTACAATTATAAAAAAAAATACATGCAGACGATACATAATATTGCATAAAATTGGAAAGTGAGATGTCTGGTGGAAAGTCAAACTCTAATTTAAAGGGACAGTCTAAGTTCCAAAATCACTGCCTTTTAATGAGGTAAATTTGAGGGCATAGATGCTGCCCAGTTTATATTTAGCAATGCCCATGCCTGTTAGTGGCGATCAGACAGACAATCACAAAGTGCTTCAAACTAAAATAGATTATATAATTGTACTTATTTGATGTCCGGTGTTAGCATGCAAAATATTTCTGATATTGGACACTGGATGTCCCATGTCAGTGGGGTTTGGCCAAGAGCAGAGCTGTTCTGAAGGTACAGCAGCAAGAGGATGGCACAGCATGAGGTAAATAAAAAGCACCTCCCATGCACCCCGTGGCCAACACAGGCACAGTGAATCTGTCAGTTTCAGGGGTCTTTACAAAACATACAAAGATTTTTGTATAAACAAATATATAAAAAAAATCTGCTTTAAAGACACATTGCTATGCCTTTAGAGATCTGGTATAAATTCAGGAATGCAAAGAATGCTGAGGTTCTACAGAAGAGGGGCATTAGGATAGAAAAGAGGGAAGTGGGATTTGGGTCCAAAATAGGAACCGTCCCTCCTAAATAGGTTGTGCATGATACTTCACTTGATAGTGAAGTAAACAAAAACCCTTGATTATTTAAATATGGTAATACAGAAGTGCACATGTGATTTCAGCTCTTAATAATTCTGTTACTCTAGGAAAGCACTTTGACAAAATGACATCACTGAAGTTTTTAACCACATAACCCTAATTATTACTAATTACTATTTTGAATACAAGTCATATGGTAATTATTGTTTTTAATATTTAAAAATGTAGCGGTTGATGAAATTCTGGATAGCTTTCCAAAAAAACATGTTTTAGCCAAGCAAAGAGATATAAACAACTTTTAAAAACACTTTCCATGTTAAAGGGGAACGTACATATTTAAACTCCTGTCCTAATAATGTTCTTGTTCATATTTATTCATTCTTGTTTGGAACTTAACATCCTATAACAGAATAAATTCAGCACTCATAGTTCTAAGTTATGAAAATTAGTGACCCTACAGTGACTGACTGCCTCTCCACTTTATCCTGTTCCCTACAGGTCCTATTATGGATGTTTTTTATTCTTGTCCTGCACTTCCTTTTTGAAAAAAAACATAATTCTGCACTGTCCAGCCAACTTCTTGTCTATGATGTAGAGATATGAGAACCACCAAGAAAGATACCTATCAGAAGGGCTCCAAATATAAACTTGCACGCATTTATTTATGCATTTTTTTTCATTGGGGATTATATATAAAAACAACTTGCAAAATGCAGTTCTCAATTATGAAGCCTTTGCAAACTCTCACCTTCTAACCCCACCCAGACGTTCTGTGGCTGTCCAATCACAGACTTCCCATTGAAGCTCAATTAGATGTTTTTACAAGACAGTTGCTCTGAGCAACTGCTGCCTCTTGTGTTTAGCTCCCCATAGCTAACAAAACCAGGAAGTAAGATTGTCTGTTGTCTGCTTCACAACAGGAGGTGTTACCAGTTTCATTTTTGAGTGTCAACTTTCTATTGAAATCTCCACTTTTTGCAAAATGATAAGAGGACACACACTGCACACATAAAGCATTTCCGCATGCTAAAGTGCTTCATCGGTTTTGAGTGTCTAATATTTTTGGATAACATTTTAAAATATGTCAAATATATTTTTTTTTATATATTGATATTTTTACATATTTTAATATTTTGAAAAAAAATCTTTTTAAAAGTTTATCCCAAAATATTAAATAATTTGAAACGCTTATCCAAAAATATGAATACTAAGTGACCGAGGCGGATCTCTAATTAGGTGATTTAGGTGGCCTAAAGGCCTCACACGGTCTGGGGCCTCGCAGCCGCCTAAATCACCATAGGGCAGACTGACATGTTGGGTCTTCGGTCTATGACCGAGGGTCCGACACAGGAGGGGACCCTCCAGTCAGTCTGCCAGGGAGAGAGACAGCCTTCAGTCTGCAGCTATGTTGGGTTGAGAGCTGCAGACTGAGATGTCTCGTGATCGCAGCCAATCAGAGCGCTGCTGCGGGTTAGCACAGCAACGCTCTGACTGGAGATCGCGAGACTTGCCACCTGGCGGAGCTGCAGACCAGATAGGGAGCCCACCGGACCACCAGGGACACAGCCTGTCCACCAGACCACCAGGGAATCTATTTAATAAAAAGGTATTTATGACCCCCTGCCCTTTCACAGTCTCAGCTCCCCCACCACTCCCTACCCTATCACAACATCACCTCCGCCTACCCTTCCCCAGCCCCCCCCTACCAATCTCTGCCCTGTCACAGCCCCCTACCATGCTCTGCCTCTCACAGTCCAACTACCACCCACTGCCCTGTCACAGCTCCCCCACAAACCCTGTTCCTGTCCCAGTACCCCCACCACTCCCTACCCTACCCTGTCACAGACCCCCCTACCACTCTCTGCACTGTCACAGCTCCCTCTACTACCCCTTGACCTGTCACAGTACCCCTACCACCCCCTGCTCTGTCACAGCCCCCCACCACCACCACCTGCCCTGTCACAACCCCCTACCACCCCCTTCCCTGTCACAACAACCCTATTACCCCCTGCCCAGTCACAGTCCCCCTACCCTGTTACAGCCCCCACCACACCCTGTCACCCCACACCAACCCTATCACAGCAACCCCACACACACATACACACGCTGTCACAGCCTTCCTCCACACACCTTGTCATCCCCCACCCATACCCAATCATTACCACACACACTGATAGCCCCTTCACACACACTGTCACACCCTACACATACACTATCACCATTCCCAAACACTTTCAGTCCCGAAACACTGTCACCCTTACACCCAGCCAAACTCACATTAACCCCTCCTAATCCTGTCACTCTCACCCACACCAACCATACCAAACTCACCTGCCCTTGCTTTGCCACACTTACCCTTCACATTAACCTCCTTCCTCAATCCTGTCAGACACCTCCTCTATCAGTCTGTCCCACTCACCCCCTTCACTCTGCCACACTCTCCCTACCACATAAACCCTTACAATCCTGTCCTCCAACTGTGCCACACTCACCCCAAACTCTGTCACACACAGGTAGACAATGCCAGATACACTCAGAAATACATACACTGGCACTTATGTATACACAAATGCAAGGCTATGTAACCATACCCCACAGTTGTGTATAAACTATTAGCTAAATTGCTAATTAAATTTGTTTATTGCAAATTATGCCATAACTACAGTCAGAGAGCTCACAATGCTGTGGCACAGGCAGCAGCGACACTGCAAGCCTCTGAAAAACGAATGCAGAGACTAGCTCTCTGTATCGAAGGCTGCAAGCTTGTCCTTCAACACAACTACAGCACATTATACAAAAAATGCAACCCCTATTTATTTTTTTACTTTGGGTGTTAATGGGGGCCTCATGTTTAAGTTTCACCTAAGGCCTCACAAAGTCTAGAGCCGTGCCACTGCTAAATGATGTAAACTCTGCCAGGAGCAAGTGGAGTGTAAACCCAGCCCTGACTGTTGGTGAGTCTTTTGTATTGAGGTAGCAATTTCTCTTGTGCTAATTAGAATTTTCAGACATCCCCATTCATTGTATAAATTGTAAATAACTAGTAATCTTCAGAATGTGTAGCCATGATTACCTTGAATAAGTCCACCCTGAAGCTCTGAGACAGAAGTAAAAATCTATAATTCCAAAGCCCGATGTTTATTCATGCACCAGAGTTATGTTTAAAAAAAATGACAACACTAAAACAAATCATTTTTATATATCATAAAATAATAGTTTCAAATGTTAACTATATTATGCGCAATACAACAAGATTTTTTTCTTATTTTAGAGGAAAACAGTTAACCATAATCTTCATGGTTGCATATATTTTCAGATTTAACAAATTACTATTCTGTTTTAAAGTTTAATAAATGCTTATTATCTGATGTACACAGACAAATTATTTTGCATTTATAATCAACATGATTGCAATTTATCAAAATTTCGATGTCTTTAGTACAAAAGTAAATGCTATCAAACTGAATAAAGTCTGCCATATATTAACACAATATATGTGATACCAAGCATTAAGTGAGCTAAATTAAATTTTAAAAAAACAACAACACATTGACCACAAGCATGTATGTCTGCTGTGGTCATGTACTAATTACATGTAATTTTAAATGTTATTCTGAACAGGGCTATGACTAAGTTTATGCTTTGCATGTACATTAGCTATACAAATCAGTCTTATACTGACAGCTCTAATCATATAAAGCAGGGTTGGGGAACCTTTGGACCTCTAGATGTTTTGGACTACATCTCCCATAGTGCTATTACATCCATAACCCTGGCAAAGCATCCAGGGAGACTTGGTCCACAACATCCTGATATAAAGAATTACCAGATTTTACTAATTTCATGACGTAAAGTCATGATTTTATTAAGGACACGGAGGCGAGTATTATGCTTATTCTCTTTTATTCCTCAGCAACAAGAAAATTTATTTTAGAGAAACAAATCAAACATGTAAACATGCCCCAAAGGGTTAGTCCTATAACAATACAACCAATCAGCATGCCTTCAGCACCCTCAACTCCCCACGTGACCTTAAGCCACTCCTCTTTCTTGGTGCTGTCGACGAAAAATCCACAGCAACATGTCAACTTGAAGGAAAAAACAAAATGCCAAGACCGCCACAGTGAAAAATACGGTACTCTCCAGAAGCTGGGATCTTCCCGTAGGTCCTGAAGGAATCCATGCACAACGGTGCCAAACCCGATCATGAAGCTGAAAGGAACAGGGAAACAAACTGGTAAAATATGTTTCTGGACCTTTGAACAGTACCATATTACAGAATTAGTCATCGGAATATATGCCACCAAAACCAGATTATCCTCTAACCAAAACCTTTCAATACATGCAGTGTGCTGTAGTAACCTGAATCCGTAGCAACTTACTGACCACCTATCCATGGGAGGGCACCACTTACCTGCATCGGGTGGGATAATACTCGCCTCCGTGTCCTTAATAAAATCATGACTTTACGTTATGAAAGTAGTAAAATCTGGTAATTTTATTTAAGGACACGGAGGCTCATATTATGCTAGTTCAAAGCTGTGACACGACCACCTCTGAAAAATGAGAAACTGGCCGAAAATAAAACTCCTTGAAGGTAGATTCGCGGGACCAATCAGCCGCCCAGAGTAGGTCCTCCAACCTGCATCCTTTGGAGAAAGCTTTAGTCGCCATGGCTCCCCTGACCGAGTGTGCTCCATACACAGAAGTGTCGATGACTGCTAATTTCATAATCCATTTGACCCAACGAGACCATGTGACTGTTGAAACAGGGTGATATGGATGACGAAGGGCTAGGAATAACTCCGGATATGCAGGGTCACGAATCGAAGAAGTCCTGGACTCGTATTCCTTGAGACATGCCACTGGGCATAGCTTAGAGTTATGTGGAAAGGCCGGGTAGAAAACTGAGGTGACTTGACGTCTTCGTACGCCTGGAAATATTAAACGAGACACCTTCAGGGGTGAATGAACGTGCAGAGAGGTCCAACGCACGCACATCCGACACCCGCTTACAGGAGATCAAACAAAACAACATCGCCAACTTTGCTGTGAGTTGTTTCAGTGAGAGATCTTCGTTCCTTGGCCAATCTCCCAGAAGCTGGAGGACAAGGTCAACATCCCATGATGAAGAGTACGTAGGTTGCGGTGGACGTGCAAATCTAATACCGCGCAGGAGTCGGCATACGAGGAGATGTTTACCTGCCGGGGCACCATCCAACCCTTGGTGGCCTGCGGAAATAGCCGATCGGTACACATTTATCGTGCGATAGGCTAGGCCATGGTCAAACAGAAAAGTGAGAAATCTCAAAACGTGACTTATAGGTGCCGATGAGGGATCCATGTGTTGTTCCATGCACCAACCACTCCATGAATTCCAGGCATGTAAGTAGGATTTCCTTGTTCCCGGAGCCCAAGCTCCCGCCAGAAGGTCAATAGTTGTTTGTGGAACGTCCAGGATGAATCCAAGTCCCTGGAGAGGAGCCATGCCAGTAACTGGAGGTGTCCCTGTAATAGTAGGGAGTGCGGTTCCCCGTTGGGGTCCAACAAGAGGTCCGGAGAGGTTGGAATCAGTCTTGGGTAGTCCATGGGTGTAGGGAACCATGGTTGAGCAGTCCAGAATGGGGCGATGAGAATCATGGAGGTTCGGTAGCACCTGAGATGTAGAAGCATCCTTGCAATCAATGAGAGGAGGAAAAGCGTACACTCGCGTGTCCGGCCACTGTTGAAGGAAGGCATCTGAAGCCAATGCCTCTGGATCCGGTCTCCAACTGAAGAACCTCGGTAGTTGGGAGTTCAACCGTGAAGCGAAGAGGTCGATCTCTAGTGGGCCCCAGAGTGTTTGGAGTTGCAGGAAAATGGCCTGCTTCAGCCGCCAGTCGCTGGCATCCAGTAGGTATCTGGAATTCCAATCCACCACCATATTGGACATCCCGGGAATGTGTTCCGCCTGAACCGAAATATTGCGATCCAGGCAGAAGTGCCAGAAGTCTTTTGCTAGTTCCGCTAACACCACTGACTTTGTACCCCCGAGATGATTGATGTAGCGGACCGCTGACACGTTGTCCATCCGTAAAAGAATGGAACAGTTGGTTGAGATACCTACGAGACTCTGAACTGCAAATGATCCCGCCAATAGTTCGAGGCAATTGATGTGAAACTCCTGTTCGTCTGGGGACCATTTCCCTCCGGTGGAGATAGGACCGCAACGCGCACCCCAGCCCAGCAGACTTGCATCTGATTCCACGACGAAGTCCGGCCTCGTCCCAAAGATTGCTCTTCCATTCCATGCTTCCATGTGCTGCAGCCACCAAGAGAGTTCTTCTTTGGCTGCGCAATCGAGAGGTATAGAGTCTGAATAAGAGAGACCTGAGCGAAGGTATTTTGCATTTAGGCGTTGAAGAGCCCTGTAGTGAAGTGGGCCCGGGAAAATCGCCTGGATGGAGGCCGAGAGAAGGCCGATGATCCTGGCCAGTTGTCGTAGCGTTGGTGCAGGTCGAGCCAATGTCCGGCGGATTTCTTTCTTGATGATCCTGATTTTGGAAGATGGTAACAGGAGTGTCCCTTCCACTGAATCGATGGTGAAGCCCAGAAACTCCAAGACTTGGGAGGGTTGTACCACCGACTTACCCCAGTTGATGAGGAAACCAAGGTTGCCGAGTAATGTGTTTGTCCAATTCAGGTGTTCCTGGAGTAAGCGTGGGTCATGTGCCATCAGAAGCATGTCGTCCAAGTATATAATCAGACGTACCCCTCTGCTGCGTAGGAGAGCGACCACTGGCCGCATGAGCTTCGTGAAGCACCATGGGGCCGAGGAGAGGCCGAAGGGCAAGCATTTGAAATGCCATGTGGTCTCCTCCCATTGGAGCTGGAGGAAATGTTGGCAGTCCTCGGCCATTGGGACGGTGAGGTATGCGTCCTGCAGGTCGAGTTTGACCATCCAATCCTCCAGATCTCGGAGGGAGTGGATGCCCTCCATTTTGAAATGGTGGTGCGCTACAAAGGCATTCAGGGGACGTAAGTTGATGACCGGATGGACACCCCGCCTTTCTTGGGCACCACGAAAAGGTTGCTTAGAAAACCTGAAACCCCTGCATGCGTCTCTATGATTGCACCTTTGTCGGCCAGGGACTGTTTCTCCACTGCGATTAATGCCCTGTCGTGGGTGGAGGAGACTATGTGTCTGGGAAGGGATATCTGGGCAGGTGTTTGTACAAATTCTATGGCATAACCCAGGGCCGCCATCAGGGCATGACAACCGTAACGGTTGTCATGGGCCCGGCGGTCCTGGGGGGCCCGGACTGCTCAGGTCGTCCGGGCCCCACAAGTAGGCAATCTAGTATATTATTCGTGGCACTAATCTCTCATTTACCTCACATTAAAGGGACACTATAGTCCCCAGAACCACTGCAGCTTAATGTAGTGGTTCTGGTATCTAGCCTGTCCCTGCGGGCCTTTTAATGTAAACACGGTGGAACTGCAGCACTGCTGTTAGTTAACATGGCAGATCACATGGGTGGGGCATTGTGATGTCACATGGGGGGGCGGCAAACTTTACTTTTGCCTAGGGCGGCAAAAATCCTTGCACCGGCCCTGTAGACACTGCATCCCTGTGGGCGGATTCGGGGGGGGGCAGCACTTTGGGCGGACTCGGGTGGCCCAGACCTTGAGCTGTGTCAGGGGCCCCAACATTTCTGATGGCAGCCCTGGCATAACCCATTACAGTTTGTAGGACCCAAGTATCTGAAGTTAACATTCGCCAGGCATCAATAAAGTGGCCTAACCTGCCCCCCACCAACGTTACTGAAGGTAGTGATGAAGGAAGTGGACTTACCATAAGGGCGTCGGCCATAGGAAGCGCTTCTGGATCCACGAGCCTGCCAGGGTCTTCCTCGAACTGGGAAGAATGGAGAGGACTTTGGTACCTCACTCTGGTAACGTGACTGGAAGGGGCCTCTAGAAACCCGGTACGAGCCCCGGGAAAAACGGCCAGGCAGACGGCCCCGATATCTGCCGGTCCCGCCAAAAACTCTATGGGAGAATACCTTTTTCATATTGGCTTGCGCCTTGTCCAGAGCAGTAAATGTGCCCACATAGGTACCCAGCTCCTTCACAAAACTATCCCCAAAAAGAAGACCTTTGGCCTGTGGCCCAGGGTCAGTGATAGCCAAGGCAACTAGCTTTGGCTCGATCTTAATTAATATAGCCTTTTGTCTCTCAGTGGCTAGAGCCACGTTGGCATTTCCAAGAAGACATATGGCTCGCTGTATCCAGCCCCTCATAGCTAGCAGGTCTACGGGAGCACCACCTGCCAATGCCGTTTCAACCATGTCAAATATCTTTGCACTGGGTCCGAGGACATCCAGGACCTTATCCTGGCAATGGCGAAGTGCAAAGTCTAGACCCTTCTTCGCCTTCCACCCAGTTTTTCCCAGGAACTGGGCAATCTTTGGGTCCACTACAGGGGCGATACATATTAAATCTGGGAGCATGGGGCGTGGACATTCTGCCCGCATCTTACTTCTTGCCACCTTATCAAGGGGTTTCCTGATCCGTGCGGCAATATATTTTGCCACATGGTCCAGCGGGAACCACTCAGTTGATCTTGGGTGTTGCGGACTATCAGGGTCAAACAATGGTTCGCCCTGTTGGTCAAGGAGGGTGGAGCCTTCCACACCGTCCTCGTCCTCATTCCCAGACATAGATATAGCGCTGTGGTCAGGGAATAGAGTGCCCAAATTGAATGAGTCCTCATCATCATACTCGCTCCATGCCTCCTCCTGTTCTGAATCTGACTCAGATGATTCCACTTGGGCTTTTGCCCTCTTCCAACTCCACACCGATTTTGCCCGGTAGGTGGCTCTTTGTTGTGGTGCAACCACATTATCTTTGACAGGACGTTCCCTGTCTGTCCGTAAAGTTTTGGAGGCTTCCTCGTCCATGTGGCGAGATTTTTTGGCGGCTTTGCGCCCACTGGCTTTGCCTGTAATGTGCTCCGTAGGGTTAGGAGCAATGTGAGTAGAGGCCCGCTGGGCGGCCATGAGGGCATGGCTAATAGAGTGGGACAGAGTGTCCGACATAACTCCCATGGCTGAATAAACAGCTTGGGTTACGGATTTCGTCATCGTGGCATCCAGAAGAGAATGAAGCTCTTCCGAGTTCAACTGCTCCTGGTCTGTCACATCAGTGACGGTTAAGCCAGCCGGTCTGGGGACAACCTGGGGGGCAGGGGGTATATTATCCCTAATGGGAGAATCGCCGGAGGCTATGCCCAAATCCTTACGAGATTGCATAACTAAATAGCACCTCTGACGGTGGTTGTGGTAGGTACAAATATAAATTGGTATACCAAGAAAAAAAGGGGGGGGATCCAAATAACTATTGGAGTGACCACACAGATACTAGGCAAGCTGGGTATTAGTAATGCACCAGCAGTATGGGTACAAAATACGAAAGACTATACAGCAATATGAAAAAGGCAAGCTCACCAAGTGTTCCCTCAGGAATGGCTCCTGGGGACACTGGTGAGCTGCCCAGTAACTGTGCTGTCCAATCAGCACTCACTCCCACCCCCACAGGCTCCAAAAAGCCCAGGAACAAAAACCGCGGCAAAACCGCCAACCGCAAGATGGCCGCCGCGATGCGCACTAGCGTTGTGCGCATGCGCGAACGGCGCCAGCCACGGTTACAGCCGCGAACCGGGGGGGGGGGGCCAGAGTAAGATCTCTGAGGCACGAAAACAGACTGGGCGGCAAGAGCCTCCACACGGAGAGCTGCTAGCCGCCCTGACTCAGTAGGTGATCATCCACCTGAGTGAGCCAGAGATGGGAGGGGAGGGAGGGTTAAGGGATTGGCTCTAGTTGAGGGACAACCAAGAGCCAGCTGGAAAACAAAGTGCAGAAGCAGAGCAGAAGCCCTACAGCAAACAGAAACAAACAAATGAAAAATTTAAATGCCACATCAAAATGAATGAATATGACAAACACATAGGTAGCATACAGAGAAAATATAAATGTACTTAGCTGAGGAAGGCAGCAGCAAGAAAGAGAGTGGCTTAAGGTCACGTGGGGAGTTGAGGGTGCTGAAGGCATGCTGATTGGTTGTATTGTTATAGGACTAACCCTTTGGGGCATGTTTACATGTTTGATTTGTTTCTCTAAAATACATTTTCTTGCTGCTGAGGAATAAAAGAGAATAAGCATAATATGAGCCTCCGTGTCCTTAAATAAAATTCATGGCTAACCACTGTACTGCAAATGTTTGTGAAATGCATTTAACTGGATGCACCCTGGATAATACAGAGATCATCATTAATTAATATCATAGACATATACATGTAACCTATGGCATATATTGAGTGACTGGCATTCATAGCAATAAGGTGCACATATAGTAGTTACACTGAGTTAATCCAGAATAGTTTGATTATCTCTATCAATAAAATTTGAATTGCCGGATAGTCAAATTTATTTCACATGATTAGGTTGCTACACTGTTGCAGGATAAGTTAGGCCATAACATGAAGTTACAGGCCAAAGATGTTCTGGACATAAATTATCCATTTAAAATGTGAGATATTTTTTATGCTGCTGTGGAAGACTTCTAATGTGTGTGCATGTGTGTTGATAATGATATAATCCTACGTATCATAGACCTGTGGCAGCCCTTTTCCAAATTGAAATAAATATATTTGAAGTAGCTTTTAGATAAAATAAAAATCTTTATATAATTTAAAATACAAAAATACATATACAGTGAACAAAATTATAAAAGCGACACTTTTGTTTTTGCCCCCCTTTTTCACGAGCTGAACTCAAAGATCTAAGACTTTTTCTATTTACACAAAAGGCATATTTCTCTCAAATATTGTTCACAAATCTGTCTAAATCTGTGTTAGTTAGCACTTCTCCTTTGCCGAGATAATCCATCCACCTCACAGGTGTAGCATATCAGGATGCTGATTAGCATGATTATTGCACAGGTGTGCCTTAGGCTGACCACAATAAAAGGCCATTCGACAATATGCAGTTTTATCAGACAGCACAATGCCACAGATGTCGCAAGTTTTGAGGGAGCGTGCAATTGGCATGGTGACTGCAGGAATGTCCACCAGAGCTGTTGCCCGTGAATTGAATGTTCATTTCTCTACCATAAGCCATCTTGAAAGGGATTTCAGAGAATTTGGCAGCCTCACTACCGCAGACCACGTGTAACCACACCAGCCCGGGACCTCCACATCCAGGATCTTCACCTCCAAGATCGTCTGAGACCAGCCACCTGGACAGCTGCTGCAACAATCAGTTTGCATAACCAAAGAGTTTCTGCACAAACTGTCAGAAACCATCTCAGGGAAGCTCATCTGCATGCTTGTCATCCTCATCACATTCGATGGCTTCTGGCCCTTTGGAGAGGTGTTCTCTTCACGGATGAATCCTGGTTTTAACTGTACAGGGCAGATGGCAGACAGCATGTATGGCGTTGTGTGGGTGAGCGGTTTGCTGATGTCAACGTTGTGGATCGAGTGGCCCTTGGTGGCGATTGGGTTATGGTATGGGCAGGCATATGTTATGGACAACGAACACAGGTGCATTTTATTGATGGCACTTTGAATGCACAGAGATACCATGACGAGATCCTGAGGCTCATTGTTGTGCTTTTCATTCACAACCATCACCTCATATTGCAGCATGATAATGCACAGCCTCATGTTGCAAGGATCTGTACACAATTCCTGGAAGCTGAAAACATCCCAGTTCTTGCATACTCACCGGACATGTCACCCATTGAGCATGTTTGGGATGCTCTGGATCGGCATATATGACAGCATGTACCAGGTCCTGCCAATATCCAGCAACTTTGCAAAGCCATTGAAGAGGAGTGGCCCAACATTCCACAGGCCACAATCAACAACCTGATCAACTCTATGTGAGGGAGATGTGTTGCACTGCGTGAGGCAAATGGTGGTCACACCAGATACTGACTGGTTTTTGGACTCCCCCAATACAGTAAAACTGCACATTTCGAGTGGCCTTTTATTGTGGCCGGCCTAAGGCACACCTGTGTAATAATCATGCTGTCTAATCAGCATCTTAATATGCCACACGTGTGAGGTAGATGGATTATCTCTGCAAAGGAGAAGTGCTCACTGTCACAGATTTAGACAGATTTGTGAACAATATTTGAGAAAAATAGGCCTTTTGTGTACATAGAAAAAGTCTTAGATTTTTTTAGTTCAGCTCATGAAAAATAGTGGGCAAAAACGAAAGTTAAAGAGAAGGAGGAGTCTGGTCCTGCTACCGATATCGGATACACACAAACAGTTAAAAATCTAGAAGATACTTTATTGAAAAATAGAAATCATGAATCTGAAAAAAAACCCGGCAATGGCTGCCTGACTAAACACAAGTCAATTACGGCAGTCAAAACACAGAGCATACAAAGGGATAAAAATTGATAAAGAAAAAATAAAGATAAATATAAATCGATAGAGTAATAGAAAGAGTTTATACAATGAGTAAATAATAATATCTATCAGTCAGGGGATATATGCAATGCATAGGTATCCCCTAGGTAGAGCTGACAATTAATTCAGTCTAATAATTCCTCTATGTCAGAAAAATGTGATCGAGTATCAATGCAATATAGCTGAGGAAGAATCTGTTGCAATTGGTATGAATTGAAACTAAATATATAGGTATCTGTATGTTGCCAATGAGATACAATGCAAGTTAACCTGCTAGAGAGAGTTAATTGCTCCCATTTGATATAATAATATCAATGTTTTCAAGGCAAAAGGGTACACTGTGAAGACTAAATGCCTGCGGCCATAGAGGAATTACCCACTATAAACTCTATCTAAAAATAGGTATGTTCTTTCTAAAAGTTCTAATCTAAACATATATACTAGTCTTATTAGTTATACGTCACATCAGCATATTAAATAGGTGTTAGGAAAGTGATAAGTAGATAAACTAATAAAAAAGAAAGAAAAAATGTTAGAAGAATCTACCTAATAATCTCGATGAAATAACTAAATATCCACAATAGATTATACACCAAGTAAAAGTAGATCGGAATGGTGCCTTCGAGGGCACCAAAAATAGGATAGATAGTGAAGAGATACAATTGCTGATGCTAGTGAGTAACCCGCTGAAACTATAGATGGCAGAGAAATACTGCAGGTTAAAGAACACTAATTCGTGGTGATATCCTGATCGATCCGATCTATAGGTAAAGCTAGTGTCCCAAATTATCACAGCCCCTCAAAATCCCAAATAGTAAATCAAAACCCAAGAGTGTATGTCCGTTCTCATGGGAAGGGAAAGAAAGAGGGTTGCTGGGGACACACGAAGCCTAATGATCACAATAATGTACACACTTGTGTTTTGATTTACTATTTGGGATTTTGAGGGGCTGTGATAATTTGGGACAGTAGCTTTACATATAGATCGGATCGATCAGGATATCACCACGAATTAGTGTTCTTTAACCTGCAGTATTTCTCTACCATCTATAGTTTCAGCGGTTTACTCACTAGCATCAGCAATTGTATCTCTTCACTATCTATCCTACTTTTGGTGCCCTCGAAGGCACCATTCCGATCTACTTTTACTTGGTGTATAATCTATTGTGGATATTTAGTTATTTTATCGAGATTATTAGGTAGATTCTTCTAACCTTTTTTCTTTCTTTTTTTTATTAGTTTATCTACTTATCACTTTCCTAACACCTATTTAATATGCTGATGTGACGTATACTTAATAAGACTAGCATATATCTTTAGATTAGAACTTTTAGAAATAACATACCTATTTTTAGTTAGAGTTTATAGTGGGTAATTCCTCTATGGCCGAAGGCATTTAGTCTTCACAGTGTATCCTTTTGCCTTGAATACATTGATATTATTATATCAAACGGGAGCAATTAACTCTCTCTAGCAGGTTAACTTGCATTGTATCTCATTGGCAACATACAGATACCTATATATTTAGTTTCAATTCATACCAATTGCAACAGATTCTTCCTCAGCTATATTGCATTGATACTCGATCACATTTTTCTGACATAGAGGAATTATTTGACTGAATTAATTGTCAGCTCTACCTAGGGGATACCTATGCATTGCATATATCCCCTGACTGATAGATAATATTATTTACTCATTGTATAAACTCTTTCTATTACTCTATCGATTTATATTTATCTTTATTTTTTCTTTATCAATTTTTAGCCCTTTGTATGCTCTGTGTTTTGACTGCCGTAATTGACTTGTGTTTAGTAAGGCAGCCATTGC